TTTTTTTTAAATTTAATTAACCAGTCCAAACTGGTTGGATTACTGACAACAGACAATAACGAAGCGTTCTAAACGTTAATACGTCAAAGTAATTGCATTGCATTTGCATGAAAAGCCATTTGCATGATTACGGTGCAAAAAGTTGACTAACACGCCACAGCACTTAAAGTGATAGCGATGATAGTTGTTGCTGTAGTGCTGATTGTGAAAGATGTTGGCATTGAAGTGCACCAGAACGTGAGATGTCGGACATAGTCAGATTTTTGTGATTATAAGTGAGTGGGTGGAGCAGTTACTTTTTAAATATATGTAACGCACAACTGCATGCTGAAAAGTAATCATTTTTTTCGTCAAAGTTTTGAAGGGAGAAAACCATGCTTTAGCTTCAGTTTGCAGCCAAATAAAATGTAGAAAGCAGGTATTTTTGCGCAAATTTATGTGGAAGTATACATTTCTATTTATACTAGCATTTTGTTCTTCTACCTCTTCTATGATGTATAAATCTTCACCTTTTTAATGTTGCAGCGTCAAAAGCGTGCGTGATGTGGCAACGGAAATTGGAAGTGAACACATCCCTGGATGCGGCACGTGATATTTGGTCATTCAAAAATTAAAAGTAAAAATAACTATTAAGAAGATAGGGCGAAAGAAGTAGAGGGAAAATAAGTGAAAAAGAGGACAGCGAATAGTGTGAATAAACAACGCCTATTTCATGCATTTTAAAGTGAGTTTTAAGTAAAATATGCATCACGCCACTTGCAGCGGCAGCTTAAACACTAACAAAAAAGTGAAAATGAAAAAACGCCGAACTCGTTCAAGGTAGTGTAGCTTAAGTTGCAAGGGAAGTGTCACAAGTGAAATATTCACTCGTTTAGGGGAGCTTTCATGTCAAATGCTTTCTTATTTTACGGATGTCGACTAAGTGTGACACTAAATAAGCATTATTCCAATAACAAAGCAGATTCAACAATATGAATCGGCTGCTTGACTCATAGCTGAAAAGTTGGAACAAGTGTAAACATTTTTTGGACCTTCATTTAAAATGTTTATAAAAAGTACCGACATTTACGTGTTGCTTTTTTTTTCGTTGCAACGGCTCAGAAAAACAGAATAATAGGGAGGAAGGAGACTTGTGTAGGAAAAGTGCAAGTAACAGTAGGATTTATATTACGGAAGTAATTAACAATTTCACAAAGTAGGCGCCTTAAGGATTCAAGTTCGTACTCGTTTCTGAAAGGGAGAAAGGAGTACATTTCAATTTCAATAGAAAAAAAGCAGTACAAACATAAATAAGGGAGTACAATTTTTTCTATAACTTTTTTGAGCAATTTATTGTTACAAATTACCAGAAATTAAATACATATCGACCCCTTTGCGCAAAATTATCGTATGTTACATTTTTTATGAAATTCACTTTTTGATGCAAGTTTGTTTTACAACGCATAACGTATCACCTGTTCAAATATTATGATTTAAATCCCAATAACTACCCCGAAAATTGACTGTAAATTTTATTGTATGTGACAATGAATTTTTTCTTGTGGGCCAAATTGTCATATGTACCAAGAAATTAGAACGTAGAGATTTTTCTGCAAAAATCCTCTCAGCAAATCTAAACTTTGGTATTGCTAGCCAAGGCAGAGAAAAATACAAAAACACTTTTCTGTAAAGTTTGGTTTTTGTAACATACGATAATTTTACGCAAAGGGGTCGATATATGTATACCCACATATTTGAAATCGTTTTCATTAATTAGTTACAAACAAGCAAATATATCTTAGACTTATTTTCCAAAGCAACAGTAAATGTTTGAAAAAATAACTAAATTCCACAAAAGAATTCCAGACTCTTCCTGAATGTATGACCATTTTTTAAGACTTATAATTAATTTAATATTTTTCATATTTTTATACCCGAGTGCCCTACATCTAGCTGTCTACGACCATGCTTACACACTTTTACTTTATCACATTTAACTTTTCCTACTAAATAAGTAGTGTTCGCCACAATATGAATGACAAAGTACAGGATGTAAAATAATAACTGTCGCACAGGTTTTTTGAAAAATGAAAGAGCCCTTTATAGGTTTTGAGAAAAAAGTAACTTGGACCTTCGAACGATATTTATGTGAATAATAGAGAAGAAGATAAGAGATTTATGTGTATTTACCCAGCCAACACATTTTTTTTTTTTTACTTTTTTCGCCTTTTTCAATTTTGGTGAGGTTTTTAGGCACTATTTTATTAAACGATACTAGTCCTAAATTAATTTTAAAACCAAATTTAATGACGAAAAAATTAGTGTTTATTTTCAAAAATCGGCTGAAACTTCACTGAGTTATTAAACTTTTTTTTTTGAAAAAATTTTTTTTTGGCTATACAACTCAAAAACTTTTGCTTGACCGTTTTTTTTTTTTTATTTGACGTTTTCGATGATCGCAAATTATGGCCATCCCGACGGCCGTATTTAATAGGCCAAAAAACATTTTAAACGTTCCATTGGTTAAAGCTGAACACGTTGTCCTACCACCACTGCACTTAAAGCTAAGATATATGAAACAATAGGGGTATAATCACAGTCTTGCAAAGTCTTGCACGGTGCCCGGATTGCACGGTTTGCAAAGCTGTCCCGTTTTTTTTTCGCGCAATCAATGCACGGTGCAAGGGTTTTGCAAGACTCCAAGAATACCCCTAACTGTGAACAATAGATTGTTACCTACACAAAATGCTAATTAGTTTTTTACGGAGAAATCATCGCAGGCTAGTGCTATTTTTAGGCCGCATAGATACTTCCCTTTATGCCGTATGCATGCGGATCTACACTGAGAAAAGAGTTTAGTTACGTCAACTAAATATTTTTCTCTCAACCGATGATTTGAAAAGCAAATAAAATTTTCCATAAACCGTATATACACCACTTTTTGATATCCCTGATAATTTCTGAGACCTAAACACTCTCTCTCGACGCAAACACTCTAGTTACTCAGGTATACGTGGCGTATGAGTAACACTCTTTTCTGCTCATATTTCATACAAAAAATCCTTGCTCATTTTCATTTGACCAATCATTATTTTCTGATTATCCATCGATTTTAAGGGTTTAACACAAGTGCAAACCATATACACAGAAATTGTTATTTTTTTAATTTTTCCCTGTTAAAGTTTGAATTTTTTCCACTTTTTCATCAAGAACACAAAGAATCTGGAATCACTAATTAATTACTCAGAAACTTTCAGGGCTATCGAGAAGTAATGTATATACGGTTTATGGAGAATTTTATTTGCTTTATTTCGTATTACAATTATGCAATTGGTTCGTAATATATACCTGATTATGTGGAGCCACTCTTTTTTTAAGCTGAATAACGGTAAATTGCAAATATCTTGAAAACGTATCCATACAAAAAAAAAATTAACTCGATTTTCAGAATCAGCGAGCGATTCTACATACAAATTGGATAATGACGTCTGGAGAACTAAATCGAAATTAAAATTTGTGATCCAGTGTAATTTAGCATTTCAACATTCATTCATTTGCATGCAACACATTTTCGCTTTCAATTAACTTTTTAAGTCTTCGCTAAGGTCGCAGCGCATTTCTATTATATTTTCAATACTTGCAATTCCCTACTTCCACTCATCACTGGTTTAAATACAAAGTCGTGAGGCAAACGTGTTGGGGGAGATAGTTAAGCAATAAAGTAGATAAAAGTAGTATTGGTCGCACGTTTCCAATTCCCTGCCTGATTGTGCAATTAGCGGAAGTCAGGGGTTGTAAAGAATGTCAATAGCCTTGAGGGTTTTCTTTTATTTTTTATTCATTAAATACAAATGTGAATACCAAGGAAGCGAGAGACGAGTAACGAGAGTATTTGAGGTTCGCAGGGGTGTGCGGAAAATGAGTACTGTTCTTCACCTTTTGTACAAAAGGGGTTAGCGAATAATGGAAGACGAACATAGAAGAAGTTCCTTAAAGAATAACAAAAATTTTATCAATCTTTCTCTATTCACTTTTAGGATATCTTTCACGGGCATGCCGGGCACTTACACATTATTCGTGAACATCACACTTTCGCTGCTCTGGCTTCGAATCGTGTGCCGTGACGTAGGGGTCAGAAATTACTTGCCAATTTTCGCAACGGCAGTCATTTATGCTTCCTACTTAATTTATGGAAGTGTTTGGTTTATCTGAAACTTCAACTCTCAAATAGATGTTATATGTATATGCAGAGTACGCGTACAATGCCAGCTATATATAGCCAATATCTTTTCCCAGCAGCAGGAAAATGAAAAGAACAAAATGAAAATGCATCGGGAGAAAGGGACAGTCGCTCAGAGGATTCTAGAATTGCGATTAAACAGAGTTACGTCACCTTTAGGTAGCGATGTACATACATATTTGTACATTAGGGTGCCATCGATTTTTTTTTTTTATTTCAAGTCCCTACCCCCTAATTGTGAGAATTATTATTGCCTATTTTTATAGACTTTTAAAAAATCATTTAGAGGTCGCGATGTGTAATTTGAGGTCAGAAAGTACGGTTTTGTAGATTTATCAGTTTTTGAATGATTAGTTTTCATTTAATTTTAAAGATCGAAAATGTTGTAGGAAGAGGATTAATAGGCCTTTAAAATGATGTATTTATAATAATCTAATGTCAGATTGTTGGATAGTTTCTAGGATTTTTCGTCAGACTAATTTAAAAAAAAAATTTTTTTTTTTTAAGTTCTGACAATCAAATAAATTTCAAAATATGTTGTACTATCTAAAATTAGATATTTTCTCTTCTTTAAATTTTAATAAAAAAAACTAGCCATTCAAAAACTGAGAAATCTACAAAACCTTACTTTCTGACCTAAAATGACAAGTCGCAACCTCTAAACTATTTTTAAAAAATCTATAAAGATAGGCAGAAATATTTGTTATAAAAAGAAAATAAACTAGTGGGTAGTGTCTTACAATTTCAAAAGAAAAAACACCCCTATATTTCGATTGACACCCTATTGTACATGAAAGTTAATATGATCCGCAGTCATAAATTTTTTGTAAAGCAATAGTTGTGTATATAGCCTCACATTTTAGCAAACCGATGCATTAATCTTATACGCGATATTGTTCCATTCATTTTTAGTAATAATCCAAAAGGAAAACAGCATTTCAGCAGCCAAGCGTAAAGCTTCATCACGTCACAACCACAATTCTGATTTCCTTCTGAACACCGTAAGTAAAAGCAAATTAGACATCCTATATATATATATATATAGACATCTTATATAAATTTAGATCTGCTTCGAAAATGATGTTTTCTTTGTTTTTTGCTTGTTTCGTTTTTAATTCCCAGGTGGTGATTGATATTGGTCTTAAGGCGGATTCATCTCTGGGAGAGAAACACAACAACAACCACATTGAAGAAAAGTTCAGAACTAGAATGATGAACCCGCCTTTACTGCCGGTTTTGCGAAAGTAATTTAAGTGAAAATTCATTTTTTCCTATCAGTTTTCATACTACAAATTTCAAAAATCATTTTTCATTTAAATTGCATTTGTAATATTACGTTCAAATTGACCCCATTTAACTTGTTAAATGAAAAAGGGTTTTTTGGAAAACACAATTGTTCACATCGAACATTTGGAGTTAACTTTGACGGTTGGTTGATTACCAATAAAAGTTCAAAAAAAAAATTGAAAATCAAGCTTTTGTGCTTCAATTTGTTTTGTGCGAATGTCTTATGATATTAACGCACACGAATTACTTAGAGACTTCAAAATGTTTAGTTCGTATGCACTATTTATCTCTGCGTCTTGGGAAATAACTAATTACCGCCTTGGCCTCTTTTTTGGCGGACAGACTTACATACAATTTTGATATTTTTTGATGACTTTTAATTTTAAATATTTTTCAGAATATAATTTTTTTGAACGTTGGCGTGTCAAATGAAAGCTTTTGTGTCTTTCTGATTGGCCGGAGCAGAAAGCTTTCTGATACAACTCTGCGCTGAACTGCTTTTCAAACGAATTAAATGATTTAACTGGTTCAATTTTCCAACAACAATTGCATGCGTTAAATCGCATGAACATTTATAAACTTGTTTTGTTCATTTAACTGGTTCATGCCCATTTAACATGTTTAGCTCGTCAATTTGAACGTATTATAAAACTAGCTACAAACGTGTGCTGCTCAAAACAAATTTCCTTTTATTATACTTTTACAAAAATATATTTTCTATTATTTTGTCAACTTAATAACCAAATCCTTGTTCCGCTTGCTTTTCTTTCTAGATCCTACCCAACAAGCGTGAAGATACCCATCGTTCTCAGTCGCTTGACGAGCTCAACGCCCTTTCTATCTGCCCCTTCACTAAGGATGAACGCGTTGTGGCACGGCAATTCTATGATCGTTACCGCCAAATAAATTGTATAGTGTTGCGCAGCACTGTTGCGAGTGTAGCATACTTATAGCTACTAACGGTGATTAAAAAATTGAAATTTTTAAAGTATAAAATTTCAAAAGACAATTTTGTCATCGAAAAAAATCCTGTGAATGTAATAAAAAAATACTTGCTGATATTATGTATTTAAACTTAATTTAAAAAAAGTGATATTCACGAATATATGTTCTTAACTATATGGCTAAAATATTTATTTAAAGAACTTCGCGAAAAGCACTAAATGTTTTGCTAGAGACCTGAGAATCCAACTTAATTTTTAGGAGATACTGAAGGACCTTACTCTACTCATAGCTTTGCACATTGGGCCGAGGGTAAAACACTAATCTTTAAGATATAGTCGAACCTTCCACACAGTATGTCCAATGGCTTTATTAGTCACAATCGCAAATGCAATTTTCATTGGAAGTGTGCGCCGTTCCCTGCTGAAAAGCATTTAGTTTCACGATTTTAAACTAAAGCCTCCTTTCAGTTCAAAAATCAACCGCTGAATTAAAAAAATATTTTAAAATACGTATACCAGCTAATTTTTGGATCGTTCATTTCAAAAATTAAATGAAAAACTTTATAAACCTCGTATTTTACCATTATTCAGCTTCCATTATAATGGTTTTTTAAAAACAAAAGTGATCTGTATTTTTTTCTTCGTGATATATATTTCAAAACGATGAATAATACCTCAAATTTGTTTCAAATCTCGATTCCACTAAAAATTTATTAATATTTGGCGATAGACTACATTGCTCACTAGCGAGCAACTGCAACCAAAAAAATTTATTCAATAAACGCGGTAAAAACTATTTTCTTAACAACAAAAGCCCTTACTTACGAAAAAGCACTTCAAGCACAAAAATTTTTTCCAATATTTTGGATGCTGAAAATATTTAAATGCTTATATTTTGTACCTACTCAACGGGTATGAAATCTGATTTTTTACATACTTCTGTAGCTTGAGCTTTAATTTGATATATAATTTGATATAGTATATTATGAGGTTTTATCTTTGGCATTTAGTATTGTTTGCAAAACGTGGATTTTTTTTTTTAATTCGAGGTTTTATAGTTGAATAATGCCTCGTGGAAAGCGTTTGGCAGAGGAAGAAGAGGGACGATGGTTAGCTTACGGTTAAGAGGGGATAACAACAAGGCAAATTCCAGCCCGTATATATTAAACAGTAATTATAAATTACTTGAAATTTCGATAACGCCAGAGAGTGAAGCGAATTAGTAGAAGAAATCTCACTGAATCACCAAGGGATATTCGGAAAATTAGACTTTTTTCAACTAATAAGTCGATAATGCCATCTAATATCCTCAATATATCCCAAATTTAAAAGGTGTCGACATGATGTGTGAAGCAAAGTTTTAAAGCGGATGTAGACTTATGGTGTTTCCGTTTCTACCAAAAAATGCTACCTTTTCATTGCTCCTTTCCCTTTTCGTGTTCGATTCTAAAATAAAGGCAAATGGTGAAAAAATTGTGTGCTCGTTTCTTAAAATGTCACACTCTTGTAAGGCAAAAAAAAGAACATTCTCTGACCTTTGCAGCTTTTGTGGTAGCTTAAAATGACAGTACATATTATGAAATGCGCGTGCTAGACAAGAACAAAAAGTCAAAAACTTGCCCCTTTACAGGATTGAGTGTAACATCAAACATGCATATTTTGCATCATGCAAGGGCAACATTTTTTCTAAGAAACAAAATCGCCATTAGAATACAATAAACGTGCAGTTAACAAGGTTAAGTTAGAACTAAAAAAGGCGACCGAGGATTAGCTCCGGACCGCGCTAAGAGCAAAATATAATCTATTCATTTTTAATATTTTTATTGAGCTTTGTACCACGATTGTTTATTAGGAAAAATTGAAAAAGCAACAAAGTCTAAGCGGTAGAAGTTATAGAACTATTTCGGAGATCACCACATCTCCTCATCAGACTTCTTTTTCTAG